AATGGAGCTGATTAGCAGACGCGGCAATGAATGGACGATCAGGGCGCCGCGGCCGTTGGGCGCCCGACAAAGGATCACGCACGGAATCCACAGACAATCCGTCGTATCGATCTCCGCGACCCTTCGAACCGAGGCTAGCACAATGCCGCAGCTCTTTATTATAGCATCTCACATTGTTGTCATTGTTATTATTATGATTCTTTACCGCTTTCCATTGTCGGCCGACGTTGTGGCGGTGCTTTTTCATGGCCCGCGTTTAGTCTGGGCATTGGGAGCGCGACGTTCGCACGCTTAGTCGCGGAAAAACGTGTTTTCCTAGTGGAAATTTTTATAGTTCTGTGGTTTTTGCGCGGTGTTTTGTGCGCGCGCAACGCGCTGTGACGGATGGAAGACTGTTCCGGAGGCCTCGCTCGGTCAGCTGATGACGCGTACATAGCTGCAACGCTACCTATAGAACGGGTGGAGGCGTGTACTTCAAAGTGTACAAGACTGAAGTGCCAATTCCCGTCTTTGATATGTTTTCCAATTGTTTAATATGAGTGAAATGTGATGCGGTGTATATTTAGGTAAATTGTGTTAGTTAAATACTAAGATGAGTTACTATTTGTAAATAATTTCATACTCTCCTAAAATCCCTATTTTTAATAACATTTCAGAATTAGATAGCAATTGTTTTCCTTTTCAAGAAGATGACATGTTAATAAAGTAAAATAGTTTTCGATACTTCCGAGTTTAATGTATGTAAAGGAACTAAGTCCAATTATTCTCTGGCCAACAGGAAATGACATGTTTTAAAAATGTTATCCGAGTAAATAACACAAATTTTCTAGTTTTATTGAAAAGGAAAACAATGGTGTCACGTATATGTACCTAAGGCACGGCTCAATGCATGTCACCATTTAATTTGCGGATGGCTCGACTCCAAGATAGGCCTGATGAGTCGGAGACAGTGGCCGGAAGGACCCTCCCCCTCCCACCTCGACCCACCCCAGCCACAGATAATGTATCTCCTCTACCTATTGAAATACACCGAGCGAAAATCTAAAACGCCAACACAGATATTCATATTTGTAAAACTCATTGAAATTTCGAAAGTCTAAAACGCAATTAAATTGTGCATCAATGTATCTTGTTTTTCTAAAGCTTAGATATAAGTTTCTTGTTTTTAATGTAGAGAAATACTTGTTTTTTGAAAAAATGTTTTAAGTAATTTAGAGTAAAAAGGATGTAAATGTGAAAGCGAGCGCATATTCAATCATGCAAATGGACTGAGAACGCTAAATAAAATGCTTTTTTCTATCAAAACATTTTCTATATAAACTCTGAAATTTAATCATATTATAGAACTTAATTAAACGGCTGTCTTTTATGGGTTTAATAGTATATTTATTTGGTACCTGCACAAAATGGTTACGGCGAATAGGAAAATATGTTTTGAATTAATTTTCATCAAAGTAATGTGTCATTTTATGTTTAGACTACTTTTTATCGAACACTAGGCTTTATTTCGTTTTATTTAAATCTTTGTTTTTATCACAGGAATCTCGTTTATTTCCTGTATAATTTTCTTTTAAAAATACCGGAGTGTTTGATAATCCTTAGACTATGTTGGGGGTGGTACCTCCCCTAGATAGCACTTACGTGTGCGGTCCTGTTTGTGCCCACATGACCACTGCTAAGCCTAATAGTAGACTTTTATTAGCGTTGCGTGATCGCTATCCTTTTCTAAATATACTACTGTCTAAGAGATAGTTATATGGAATATTATTCATTTGGTTGTCTTGTCTATGTACCTACGCTAAACGCAGACACATAAACATATGTTATATGGGCCTGTTACACTTGAATGACACATACATATGGTCTGTTTTTAACACTTTTTGATTTGTAGGTTTTAAGATGTATGCTTACTGCTAAAAGTGAGATTCAGGCGATACTTAGCGCGAACTATGACCTTTTGGTCATAGTTCTATAATACATTTTTGAGGTACGAATCTAACCCTAAGGTGCCGTTTTGTGCAAGATATTCATCAGGTAGAAGCATGTTTCATTGAGAACTAACCTTTAGTATTTAATTAATTAAACGACCTTTTTGCCTCAAACTAAAGTAGGTGCGTATGTATACCAACCTTACAAAAACTGCAATGAAATACGCGACACATTTAAATTTATTAATAAATTTGTGATAGTAAAATTTTAATGCTGTTTTGTGTATGTCTTCTAACAGATTAGAAAGAGCTATTTTATTTTGTCAATACTCATCTACTTTACGTAATATATTTGACTAGCTGACCAGACATTGTCATGTCTTAACTAGAACAATTCGAATTGGTAGATATCAAAAAATATTATTCAAAAGCTAGGCATGTCTTCGTTCTTATCTTTATGCTGTCTATTAATTAAGGTTAGTTTTAAATTATTTATTAGTCTTAAGTTAGGCTAGATCGTAATGTTAAATGACTTCTTTGAGCAGAGACAATTAATAGCATTAGTGTATCAACCGCTGACACATTTATCAAATGTACCTATATAAAAATTATATCATTAAAATTTCAAACAACTGACAGTTCTGTAAGTATATTAAAGTTTTATTGAATGTGTTAATGTTCCGTTTAACTTCCTTAAATTATGTTTCATTAGAACCTACTCCTGACAATAATAAGCAAATAGAAATAGCGTTAATCCGTTCACGCATTATGACCAAAGGAAATAGAATTTCAATTTTTATATCTATACCTAAATATAAACTTTATATTTATTTATTAACTATATATATAATATAAATATATATATATATATATAATCTATATATATATTATATATATAATATAAACTAATCAGTCTTATTACCTTGCTTCAACTGAGCGATCATAACAAACAGAAAAGTAATTTAGTCCAAAAAATAGTAATATAACTTGATTTAGTTTGTATTAGAGGCAAGAGGTTAAAAAACGTTAAGACGATGTAACTATGACTTTTAATTACTGATTAAGAATTTATATGTAATTACGAAATTGATAATTGGGAAATTAAACCACGATTCCCGCCAACAATGCACGGCGGCCATATTGCGGCGTCGCGTCACCTCAGTGTTGCCAGGCGTGATAATTATTAATTTGCAACGACACTCGCGCTCTCGCGGTTGTCATTAGTGACACCTCGCGCCAATTAGGAGGCCTAGAGTGTTTGATGCTCGTTTTTATTTAACACCAGCACTTATTGAATGACACGATGCGTCACTTGTGGTTTTTCAGTTGTTTGGAGGTGTGAATTTTTGCAATGCAAACCGATATACCGCACTTAAATTACCGCAGAGTGTTATGAGTGCTTTTGTTTATGGCACCTCGTTCAATTGTTACAATTATTGGTAAACTTTGATAACTAGGTTTATTTTTATTGTTATTTGCTTTATATGTCATATTTTATTACTGTTAACTGACTCACAAAACTGTGTACATTATAAATAATATTTTTTTTATTAAAGTGTTTTTTATAAACTGTGTTTCATTCTTTTTTTCCTATACTAAACACAGAACACATATTTTATAAGTAATCGGTAGATAATCTATTTTCTTAAAACTCCAATACCTACACAATAACCACAGATACCTACCAAAATGTAAATTAAATTTTTTATTGCTCAAAGGGTAAATTTTACCGGCCATCATAACTTATACTAAAAATGTATTTAGAAAAAGTAAGATAATGATTACTGGAATTGTAAGAACAAAGGGTCCTTCTGGGAGAAACTATCGTGAAATTAGATTCCTAGAAAATTACCTGAGAGTCTTTTGTTTGTTTCAAGCTTACTTATTTACCGTTATTTTAATGCTAAAGATAAATTACAAATGAAATTTTAAATTTACACCGCATAACAATTATAACTATTAAAATCCTAATCCTGGCTCAAACTCATGACCTTCAAATTCTAAGTTATATACTTTAGTAGGTACATCAGACTAATTTTATTCATAATAAAAGTATTTGGTTAAATGTATCCGTCTCTTTTTATCACAGTTAGAATACGATTAGACAGAAAGAAACATATTCTAGTTAAAACAAAGTTTAAATATTTTAACTATAAAATTTAATTGAATTTTTACGGAGACATAGGTAATTGATTAAGTTCCAATGACTAAATGGAGAAAATCATCATTATACATATTATTTACTAAATTCTGAAAGAACTATATGTTAGTATATGAAGAGAACGATGAATCAAATAATTTATCATTATGCAAGGTACGGGCTGTTTATGTATTTATTTTACTTTAAGTTGATAATGAATACTTTGATATATACTAACGAGTCGATAAAAGAGATAGATCAGACTTACATTTGTACTATATATAAGTACATATTAGGGTAGATATCATACTTATATAAACTAAAGCATACGACTAAATGCAATTTAGGTTACCTACTACAAAAAATTCTTCAAATAGGCATCACAATTCATATATAGGTATACCTAATCGTTTCTATAATACTTAAGGTACATTTCGTGTTTCGTACATTCGAATAAGTAGGTACAACTAGAATACATACCAAAAAGCTATACAATTCACCAAACGTTGTACCATAAACTACAATAAACTGCTGTGGTTAACATAGACATTAACAATATAGCAACACTCAATTTTTAGTAACGATAATAGACCTCAATGTCTTTTAAAATAAAAGATTCAATATAATTGAGTGTTTACATACATTATGCAACAATTGAATGAGTAGCTGAATTGAGTAGTCTATTGTCAGCCCCCAACAAAGGAGGATATTGTAAGTGATCATCAATGATTCTTCAAAACAATGTAGCCTGTGGCTTATCAGTTTGGTGTTCAGCGCCTTGACCTTACTGTGCCAACTGTGTAAACTCTAACAAATGTGCTACTCTAAAGGTACCTACGCACTTATTACATTTCATATTGTTTGTTCTGTGGTATTTCAATACGGCAATCTGTCTTAGCCATTTCTAATCATGAGGGTCTAACAATAAGAAATTATAATTTCAAATTGTCTACAAAATAAAGAGAAGCTTGTTTATCGCATAAACTAAGGTCAAAAAGGATCAAACACCGTCGGAAAACAGCATTGTAATTTGCATGAGGCGGTGCGGACGAGCCAAACGATCGCCTCGCTCGCCACGCGATTAAAAATGCAGGGCGCGGCGGGTGGGAGAGCGCGGGCGGGGCGGGGCCACGGACAGGCTTCCCATTGGCGGGCGCGCGGGGGGCGGGGCTGGCGGGGCGCGGGGCGGACGGGGGGGAGAGCACTCGCCGCCGCCCGGACGTCGACCACCTCACAACGCACGTAGCCCTCGCGCCGGACGGTATTGCGAGACGTATCCACGCGCGCCGCCGCGAGTCCATGTGAGCGACCGACAGTTCTCTTGTTGTGTACGGTGAACGAAGGATCGGCAAGCTGTACGCGCCGCAGGAAGACGACATGTTGACGATGGAGACGGATTTGAAAGGCGGCAGCCTGCACGCTAACGTGCCGCCGCACCATGCGTTGCAGCACGGCTACGGCTCGCTGGGCGCGCTCGGTGGCATGATGTCGCTGCCGCAGCAACAGTCGCTGAGTCAGCATCAGTCACTGCAGCAGCATCATCAGCATCAGCCGCTACCACAACACCATCAGCCTCCACCTCAGCATCACCAGCCGCCCAACAACAACAACAACACCACCAGCAAAAACTCTAACGCTGAACGGGTCAAGCGACCGATGAACGCGTTCATGGTGTGGTCACGCGGGCAACGCAGGAAAATGGCCTCCGACAATCCTAAAATGCACAATTCTGAAATCTCTAAACGTTTAGGCGCACAGTGGAAAGATTTATCTGAATCTGAGAAGCGACCGTTCATCGACGAAGCTAAGAGATTGCGAGCTGTTCACATGAAGGAACATCCAGATTATAAATATAGACCAAGGCGGAAAACGAAGACTCTTGCAAAGAAACAGGAAAAGTATCCTCTAGGAGGTGGATCATTATTAGGTGCAAGTGACGTGCAAAGAACGGCCGCTCCGTCGGCGCAACAACCTCGCGATGTTTACCAGATGACTCCAAACGGCTACATGCCCAACGGTTACATGATGCACGATCCCAGTGCATATCAGCAGCAGGCATATGGCTACCCGCGCTACGACGTGTCACAGATGCAACAGAGCGGTTACGGCGGAGGTTACTATGGCGGTGGACAAGGATCTCCATACCTGCCGCAGCCGCCGTCGCCATCCGCTTACGGAATTGGCCCCGGATCTCCAGGGGGCTACGCGCTACCTGCATCTTGCGCATCACATTCACCAAGCGGTTCATCAGCCAAGTCAGAGCCAGTGTCACCCGGACCGCCGGGGCTCAAGCGGGAGTTTGTGTCGCATGAGCCGGTTTCGCAACTGAAGCGCGAATACGGGCAAGCGGGTGGCCAGCACCCGCACGAGTTAGCCATGAAGCGAGAGTACGGGCAGCAAGACCTCAGCCACATCATCAACATGTACCACGTACCAGATGAACAGAGGTACGCGGCTGCGGGCGAGCGCGCCATGCCACTTATCTGAGAATCGCCCTTCGCGTGCGACATCGACATCCCGCCGCTATGAGCGCGTCGCACGCCCGTGACTATCGCGTTAGGACAGTGATCGTTAATTCCCAGCCAAACATACTTCTAGGTATGTCAATTTATTTGTTTATCGAAGCCGAGAGCCGGCTATGTTAGTGTTGCGCGATGTTGACTCTGAATCGGCCCGCCGTCGGCCGAGCGTTCGATTTAATGTTGTTGATTAATCTTGTATTATATTACGATTACTGTATTTTTTCATGGTTTAAGTTTATATTATAAGTTGTGTCGTGCGGACGAAAGGCTGTGGAGTGATATTCGCGTGTGAGACGATGTAGTGAAAGAGATTATTTGAATACCAAAAAAATTTTTGATCAAATTGTAAATATAGTGTTAAAGGCTAGAAAAGTTGAAGTTAGTGGATAATGTAGGTAGATAGAATTAAGAAGTGCCACGGCGAACACTCGTACGGCCGTCGTGTATGTACAAAATATTTGTTATATCGAATCGAAAGTTATAGAGCCTCGAAAGACTAAAATATTGTAATACGAAAATGTACAGTGAGTGTTATATAGTCAGTGGACACAAAAGTATATTGAAAGAAGATAAAGTTATCAATAAACGACGCGTTAAAATTGTACATGCTGTTTTGTTGCTTCCCCAAACCAACCCTTTGTGCATTCAGTGAAATCAAAATCATTTTAGACCAACAGATTATTATAAAAAGTGCTACTAAGTACGTATACATTTTCATGTAAAAGATATCAACGCGTATGCATTACGCTCTTTGCATACAGTTAAAGAATAGAATATTTTGCTAAATGAAATATTTTGAATTAATAAACACTAATCCAGAAAGTACTCTTTACATGTATCAATGCTTAATCAAGAATTGCAATCAATTATACCAACAGGTACATTATGCAATTTACATATCGAAATTGAACTTTGAATGTTTCATACTGTCAACGTGTTAGGGGTGAATTGATAGATTCGGGCATTCCTTGGGGATACATAATCCGACGCCCCAGTACTTAAACTATTTTCAATTACACATTAACAAATATTATATGTCACTTTAAGCTTTTAATTATTTCCTATTTGTGCACTAGTATATTCGCTTTGGAACAAAAAATAATCTTAAACATTTTGATTAATTCGAATTGATATTTTGTTTCACTTGCAGAAATATTTATTAAGTTATTCAATATAATTATTAATTAAATTTTTATATATTGATGTGGTCGAATATTTATACTAAAATATTTTCAGTATACAAAGCTTCAATCAAGGTTCAATTTTATAACATTTGATAAAGCAAGAATAAATAATTCCGGATATAAGTTGGCACCCCAGCCGTCACGCGACGGGAATCGAACCAACGAGGGTGGAATCACGGTTCACACGACACCGCATTGTTTTCTCTCACGCTCATATCATTCAAATGTGACGGTGGTGAGAAAAGGAAATTACCTAGCTTTTCTTTTACTTTTCTTCGACCTTTTAGATAACAGGCTTTATTAGAGACACAAAACTGGCACTTTAATTAAAATTTACAAAAATATTTCTATATTATTTCCACTTAATATAATACTAACTAAAGTTGAAGAAGTATTTGTCCTCTAATTTTTACACTGCTTCCAATTAGAGAAGACTCTGGACCAATGTGGCCGTGGTAGGAATTAAGTCTTCCCAGTGACCATATTTATAAAGGAATAATAAAAAGAAGCCGAAAAATTAAAAAAAGTTGAAACATAAATACGATAGTTAACTATCAATTCTATTTGATTGATCCACTATTTTTACAATTATAAATCGATTTTTGAAAATCGGTATCATTTAATAAATTTTCTATGTTAATCGGGGTACCTACATATAAATATAGAATCAAACCTAATATTATTTAATTGTGAATTTTGCTGCATTGATTTAGTACAAATAAGTCAAGTTGTATTGTTTATGATGAGTCGAATTTATTAGGTAGTAAGTAAAAGATCTAATCTATGCTAATACTATGGGAATTGCAAATACAATTTCTGGAAGGATTTGTCACTAGTAAAGTTTGAAGAACAAATTATTTTTGTATTAAAAAGAGTAATAAAAACAAAAATAATGAAATTACACATAAACCAAAACATTTGATTCTATGAATTTTCTGCTTGCCCTCGTAGCTTTTAGGCTTTCTCAATCTGAAATTCCTACCTTCGATGTCAAGGAAACACTAATTCGAGTTTGTTAGTTAAATACAACTCAAAAATTATCAATGAATCAGACAAAAACTGTGTCTGCCCAATAGCAAATAAATCCCCTAAATTAAACCATATTATGTTATAACATTAACAGTTACTTGATCTGGTACCAATTGGCTTTAAATATTTTGACAACAACGAAGCGGTGGGGTATCTTGACTATACATGATATTTATTATTTATTAATACAAAAACAACCTATGAGGAACATACATGATAATACTACAAAAATGATAAGAAACTGTTAGTTGCGTTTAGATATTTATGAATAAAACAATTCTTTCTGAGCAAATACAACATTGCTTAGGAACGTTCTACTTCTAAAGTTATTTTTGTATGAACGCCGTAAAGACAGTGATTAACAAAAACAAATGTTATAAAATTTCTTGAATCATTTAATCATTCTACATATATAATTTGTATTTACAATTTTCTTAACCTTAAAATTTATTAAAAACAATATTAAAACAAATTTAAAAAGTTTGGTCCACTGTAACAGTGTACCTTTAACACTGGCAGCATTTCCTCGACGTACTGCGATACTAATTCGTTGAGCTAGGAAAGCACCAGCTCTGGGGTCACTGGTACTATCTACCAGGCGCCAACTTAAATCTTTAATTAGCGCCTTTGCTCTTGAATGTTATAAAATAGTTCAATAGAAATTATTTAACTAAATCATATTTGTAATGCACATTGCGAACCGCAAGTAATAAAACCCATCTTTACAATACATCTGTTCGGTACATCCGCTTATTTTTTTCACTAATTTCTCAAACACCCGTCAAACAATGTTCTCACGTAATTCGTTCGACAAACACACTGTTTGTTCTAGATATTGACACCGACGCCCCCTGGCGGTCCCTTTGTTTTTATGTTTCTTGTCAACATCTCATTTGTCACTAAAAGTGGGTGGCATGTTTGAATTCTGTGATCCGATACTTTGCATTAATTCTGTGTTAAAGTTGACTGCTTACCAGCGGTCGGGATAGATCAAATGCCTTTTTCCAAATTTTTTATATTTCATATCCTGATCGGCCTTATTACGCGTGGAAATAACTGTAGGCTTTATAGTAAATAACTTGTAATGTGACATAAATATTCCGTGTTTACTAATCACATACATAAAAAATAAAATCAATGGCGCTACAACCTTTTTAGGTCTGGGCCTCAGATATCTGTATCTGTTTCATGATCATTTGGTAATCTAATAGGCAAGTCAGCCTGCTGTGCCTGCCGCACGCCGTTGACTTTTTGGGTCTAAGGCAAGCCGGTTTCCTCACGATGTTTTCCTTCGTCGTTCGAGCGAATGTTAAATGCGCACATAGAAAGTCCATTGATGCACAGCGGGAAATCGAACCTACGACTACTCAGAGATGAGAGTCGCACGCTGAAGCCACTAGGCCAACACTGCTCAAAATCACATACATAGATAGTGTCAAGAAATATGTATAATCATATTTTACATTAAGCATTTGTTTAACATGAATACGCAGTTAACGCTGCTGTTTAATACAGATTTTATATCCTAACCTACACCAAAATCGCCGCAAAAAGTGAATTTTCTCAGTAGTTAAAACTCATAAACATTTTAAAAATAACTAGGATTTCTAAGCTTTCTCAGAAAGCACCCTAAAGTACGTAGCCTTGTACTTGTACCGAGGTAAAGCAAAAAATGTATGACCTTCCTGGAAACACCTAACGGTACTACAGGTAGGCTTTTACTGACCATTGCATTTTACAGCCTGGGTATTGGAAATTTTTATTATTATATTGGCTTTTGGTTTAACATTTATATTTGTAGAAACCACCGTATATAATGCCGGAAAATTTTATATTTTAAATGTTTAGTTTATCTATATAGTCAGAGGCTTGTCTGGAAGAAACTTTTTTTTATTATTTTTGTGATATTTTTTTTATTAAGAACAGAGGGCAAATGGGCCAGAGGCTCACCTGATGTTAAGTGATACCCATGAACTCTAAAAGCCAGAGGGACCGCAAGTGCGTTGTCGTCTTTTTTTCTTGAAGGATATGTAAATGTCCAAAACCAACGATATATTATATTTTGGATACGTAAATATTATTTAACGCAGATCTATGCGATTCGTATAATATTTTATGGAAAATAAAATATGATGTATACTTGTGCTGTATACTGTACAGCATTACATTCTGTTCTGTTCTTTTGTACATATGGTAGTATTTTCAACGCAGACTAATTAAACGGATAAGTTAACTTTTTTTAAATTTAATGGTGTCTAAAGAAAACACTTTTTTACCGGATTGGAGTTATGTGTATTATTATAAATTTACAATTATTTTATATAATCTTAAATTTAGGACGTTTCGCGTGCTTTACAGCGTGCGTGGTCACGGTGACTGAAGACAAAAGGTGTTGAATGTCAAAAAGTATCACAGCTGTAGAAAAAGTTGTATTATCTGTATTTATTTCCCCGGAGTTGGTATCGACTATTGGAGGGGTTTGGCAGAGGGTTTTTTTAATGGTGTCTGTCAAGATCCAGCAAAGGTTAGTTTGGAAATTTAGACAAATAACAATTTACTGTGTAACGGCTTAATGCAAAGGACAATTTCACGGAACATACATCAGTACTTGTTCAGTCGAATTCAGGGAATCCCTAAAAAAAATCTCATACTCATGGGAAGCCATTTTTAAAGACCTTAAAATGTTCTTTAAATAATTTTTTTCTTTTGAACTAAATTTGAAGTATACAACGTAACCTTTATTAGCAAAATG